AACGTGTCTGGATTCTGACCTATGGTCTGTTACAGTGTCATACTCGTCATACCGCGGTTTGTGGTTCAACAAGTTCGGATTATTGCTACATACCTACATTACTTGTAACTTGAACCTCCGTCTCACACTAAACTTGTATGACCCAATGTCATTGAAATTTTGTTTAAAGGGGCATTTGCTCACTACACAGTAAACCTATCCACCCTCCCATTCACTAACTTAGTCATCCACTCACTCACTCATCCACCCATCCACTAACTTGTCCCCCTACTCACTCCACACTCAATCGCCCTCAGGAAGATACTTACTCACTTGTTCCACATTCATTCATACTCAATCATCCACTCACTCTGATGGAGAATCAAGTCATATTCAATGAAAGGATTCTAAAGCTGTTTATTCTGTCACTGCCTGACATTACGACGTCATGACGAATATTGTGTATAAACATACCCATGGGAAATAAACACGGTGACTAACTTAGTCTGAAAAGACTTGAAGCTTACAATACAGACTGGTTAAAAAGATAAAGATTAAGGTATCATAACGTCAAATGGGGCATGTCTAATTTGTTGTAATTAGTTAGGCAGAGTTGTTTCCCTTGGGCACTCCAGGAACCTGTGATCATGGTTTCAAATCCTTTCATCACAATTATGTTCCTGGGTTTGTCAGCAAAATGGCTTTGATCATATGTTTCAACAAAGTAGATAATAATTTTAGACCTGCACCACTTCAGACTTTCCTCCTACCTGAAGTAGACTCCCCTGATATCACTGGATTACTGTTAAACAAAACCCATCCACTCCTGTACAGGGGTCCTATGTCAACTATGCCAGTCAGATTTAAACAACACTACGAACATTCTCATACATCACATTTCACAAGCTGGGACAGCATGTGACAAACTGAAGACATTAATGCTCATTTATTTAAAAAGAACTGTCATCTTTACAATTTACATTAGGTTTCATAATACCATACCATGGTTTATATCATAGGCAATCTATTGAAACATTTCAAAATGTGTAAAAAATGGAAGTTGAATTTGGTTTTTCTTTTGTTTTATGCGGAAGGGTTTTGTCACTCTGATAATGGCTTAAAGAAATTTAAGGTTCAACTGTTGCCATGGTTACTTCTGGAATCCGAGGTTACAGAAAGGATCAGAAAGTGTCTGAACAGTTGGAAATTAAGATTTGAAGTCAAGCCTCAAGAGGTCCATGACTGAAGGTGACTAAGCTGTACAGTGCTGAAGTTAAAGGTTAAACATGCAGTACACTATGGGTATAACAACCTCAAAGGAACCGCTAACTCTAGGTGCTCTAACCGTAGTTCACTGTATGCATTTCGAGTGAAATAAGCAGCAAGTGTAACAGTTTGTGTATTGGTTGGTTATATCTGTCAGTTCATTATAAGCATGTTTGTTATAAATGTATTTAGCTGTTCAAGAAGTCCCAATTTTCAAATACCATACAGGGCTTGATTTAGTGCTTTGTTACTTGCACTGGTGCAACCTGATATTACAAAGTGCAAGCTAGTTATTAGTCTAAATTGCACCAGGTGCAAGTCAAATTTTTTGAATGGGTAAACTTCTGAATAAAACATCTAAATAATTCAATAGCATATTTCTGATATTACATATTGTAATAAAAACAGGAATTGACTGGTGCAACTAGGTTTATATCTCAGGTTGCACCTGGTGCAAGTGGGTTAACATCTCTTAAATCGAGCCCTCCCATAGGAAAAGTCCTTTAGGTGCCCCAGATCCAGGGTTTCAAGAAAGTCACCCCCGAGCACCCTGTACACATACAAATTGTCAGTAGAGGCAGATGAGTTACATGTTGAGTCCTGGCAGAATATCTGGAACATTTGGCTGTTTGAATCCACTCATACCAATTGTAGATTACATGTTGCATACAACTGACATTTCTATTCTCATCAGAAATACCCTTACAGTTCAGTGTCAGAGCTTCAGTTAATTCAATCTTACATTGAAATCCATCTCTCTAATCAGCTTAGAGCGTCTGAACTTGTGCAGTGATAGGACATCAGTAAAATTCTTGGAGATTAAACTGAAGGTGTCATGTGGCCTGGGAACCCTTAAACATTACAACTAAAGGTTACAACTAAGATAGACTCAGACAAATCCTGCAAGATTAAGTATTCAAACGTTCTCTGAGACCCTACAAATATTGGATAAAAGAAAATTCATGCAACTCAGTTTGAGCGTAGAATGACTTGGCAAGTCTAGATAAAACGACATTGTTCTGGGTTCCAGTTGGATTTTATCCAATATTTAAAGCCACACTCAGCAATATTCTACCAATATGGCAGCAATCAGTAAATAATCAAGTCTGGACCAGACAATCCAGTGATTAACAGCATGAGCATCGATCTATGTATGACAACTCTGCAGCATATAATTACTGTTGGCAACTGAAAATAGCAGTTTGTTCTAACGCTGACATGATTCACAACAAAGTGTGGTATCTATTGAAGGAGAGGCTTCTTCATGACCCATTCATTTGTGACCAAAAAAACCCCATAAAACATAATTGGGACCCAAGTGCATTCTGGGAAACAATAACCCATCCATATATTTTAGTCAGTTTCCAAACCACCAGTTTAAACTCCCACTCTCTTCCTGGTGACCACAGTCTCATGTAACAGGTGTCCCTGTTTGACCTTTGACTTATGACTCCTGATCACTAATACACCAACACAAAATATACTTAATAATTCACGACCCCAATAGCAGAATTTGAAAAGAGAAGAAATCAAACCCATACAGATGCAGACTGTTATGAAACAAGGAAACAATGATATTTGCATAATATATTGAACTTGTACAACAGGACAGCATCGGGGAAAACAGTATAACAGATAGGCTCAAACTGAGGATCGATCAGAAGATATCCAGTACAGCCATTTTGCCTCATGTTCAAAATATTTAGAATTTAAAAGAGTTTGGCTTTTTTCCTGATGACATGCTTGTAAGTTTATAGAAAACACTCTGTATGGATACATATAAAATCTTAAATTTGGAACAAGAAGCCATAAAGGATACTTGAGAAAAATAGTTAATCCAAAGTGGTTTTCTTACTCTTTTCTCTGATGCAGTAATGATAGACTATATATTGGTTCACTAACAGATGAAATTCCTCTACTGTGCGAAGCAAAAACTCGAGTACTACATTATCTGAATTGGGAAATACTAAATTACACTATACATTTCTGTACCAATATATTTCTGTGACCCTGAAAACTGTCCTACAGAATACAGGACAAATTCCTACCCATATAGCCACACAACACCACTGAAACAAGATTAAAAAGACAGTGTTTGCCTTGCAGACTACTATTCTATTCTATTGGCATAGGTTGCTAAATGCAATGTCTGGTACAATTCCAACAAAAGGATTAAGAAACATGATTCTTGACCCTCATAATCTCTTATTATGAAATATTTATATAAATCTTTTCTTCATCTAATCCCAAGTGTGTTATGCCAGCTTAGACACAGGTGAGGGGCAGTCAGTGTCTCGACTGAACTGTGTACATTCAACATTATCATACCAACACTATGTCGCATACCATGTACCGTAAGTATTTCACCAAGTCCTTTTATTATTCACTGCCTTGCATACAATCTTGTAACATTACAAGATGTGTTAGTCAGTCAGTTGTATGACCTACTCATGGTAGCTGTTTTCTGCCTTGAACAGAAGACAATCTGACCTGAACACGTCCAAACTGACAACAATCTAACCTAACTTTATTTACATTACATAAGTAATGATCATAAATAGTAAGAAAATGTGTGTAAAGACACACTTATGTTAAATACTATAGTGTTGTAAAACTTTCTGAACAAAGTTTCTTTGCCATTATTCATTTCCCCATACAGGTTGGGGGCTCCCTTTATCGGAGCCTATAAAAAAACAATCAGACGTCCCCTCAGAACAACAGGGCTCCTGGACAGCGGGGCTCCAGCTGAAGTAAGCCACGCATTTTCTAATAGGTTACTCAAGGCACGTACATCAACCTGAACCCGTACATGCTTGCATACAAGTTATTACAAAACTATCCTGCACAAGGAAGTAGCCTGATTCAATGAGAAACAAAAAACATTTGGTTATACATCTTGTTAAGTCGTATCTACCATGTCAACATACTATTATAGTCGGTTGCAGTTTTGTTATCAATACACATAGTCTGTGAACTATTACAGCTATACCTGCAAAATGAAAACTAACATATAACTTCTTGTAATTTGTTTACAGACCTAACAAGAGACCTGACAGAAAAATTACATATCTCAAAAGCACTTTTTTTTCTTCTTCTGCAAATGCAAGCTTATGTAATCGGTTTGTATGAAATGATTCGTGGTATGAAAATATTAAGATAGAACTATATGTACCATAACTGAATGTTTAATCATCACAGGGGCTGCCATTAGTGCCAATGTGATGACACAAGTACTTTCACACACATATTTTATTGCTAAAACTCATAAAAGTCACAGCAAGAGAGAAATATGCTAATTAATATAAATTAGGTGGTACCAAATTTCTCTATCACATTTTATAGTACTCCCTTGGTCAATATTCACTTTGAAAAATTAATTCTGTGTAGAAATAGTCTGATGTGCTTTGGGATAAAATATTATGATTTATCATTTTCATAAAATCACCTGTGCAGCGACTCAAAAAATGGCCTCTGAGTTACTAATAACAGCACCTTAAAATCTGGAAAGCTGTTATTGTTCGTGCAGTCAGTCCTATCTATACCGACAATATGTACACAGTTCTGGCTGGGTAGTTTTCACTGGATTGAATTTAATGTAACCCAAATGGGCGCGGCAGTTCCAAGTGCTGTCACGGTATCTAATTAGGCTTGCTATCAAATCACAGCGTCTTTATATTCTAAGACTCTCAAAACATGTATATAGTTGCAAATGTAAAAAGAGAGAATCTGTCCCAAAACAGACTATGTATATATACCTGTAAATATTTACACGGAACATAACCGATGGCGTTATCCTTTAGGGAACGAGCACCCCACCAATCTGTCTGTTTGTGACAGTCAAAAATTTCAAACTTGTCTCCCTTCTGAAATGACAAAATATTCTGAGACCCCTCAGTATCCGGGGGAACGAAGTCCGAAACCGCACGGTATATTTCCATTTTGGCTGTCCCCTGCGCTGTCAAGTAGACATGCTACGTCGAACCGGCGATTGTATTCTCGCGGGACGATGACAGGCTTTCATCAACAAAGAATGATATAATCCGGAAACAGGTGTTCAGTAAGAGTTATCTTCCCCTCATTCGCAGGGTCATAGGGCAAAAAAAATCGTATCAGGTCGGATATTTCCGTTGACATGACAAAAAAATAAATGGTCATTTCCAGACGCATTTTCATTATGATATTCTTCATCTACTCATTATGTTAGTGTAGGCTAGTATTATGCTTTTGGGGTTGTTTTCGTATTAATAAATAGTGTCTAATATTATTCAAACAGTAAAAGTTGAACTCGGAACCAATGACATGAAATATGAATGGTATCATTAGCTGAAAAAAATGTCACCAAAGGATTTTATATCAAATTATCAACTCGAAATAGAACAATTCTGGGCTTTGATTATTTAAACTGTATGCATGCTCATCGACTGGTTATTTGTTAAACGTATCAAAGCACCCAAGTCCAATAAACATCATTGTGTTGTTCACGGGGATTTCACAGAGCTTACAATTGTGTAACACAACACTAAACTCCTACACAGATCAGTTGCGCCAGGGAGACTATATAAGGTGTTGTAGAGTATCCCTGGTTGCGCTAAACACACAAACAAATCTGAAAGAAGAAGTGAAATCTTTAATTACGATAAGAATATATTGTTTGGTTTACCTTTCTCGTTTAGCTTCAAATTTAATAATACAGCCATCAAATCTACCATTGAAACATCTAACTTGAACGCTTTAGGTTTCTATCTGCCCATTAAGCTGTTTAAAGCGCTGATTATCCTGGCATCAAATCACAACACAGCGATTAGGTACTCTAAAGCTTATTAAGTAAGGATACTGTTAGTTGCAAATCTGTGTCTACATGTGTCTCCTTGTGTGCGTCTTATATAAACACATTGATCATAAACAGTTAATCATCCATACTATTTTGTCATCAGTTCCATATACAAATTGTGGATGCGACTCAAAGATTTTTAATAAAATAGATACCTTCTGCCCTAGTTGACCACGAATAAAAAAAGCGATCGTAAAATCACCACGCTTGAAGATGTACATTTCAGCCTGTACCACGACTGATGCTGCTGGCCTAGTTGTGCAGAGTTATGTCCCTTGGTGTGCTCGACCGATTTGATCGTGCTTTCAAATCCACATTTACTCTGATGGTGTTTCATGGTGTGTCGCGAATGTACACCTACAACTCCACTATGAAGATGACACCCAGTGTTATCACCGAAATACTGGCCAAAGTGGCCAAAGTCACTCACTCACTCGCGTACGCACGCACGCACGCACGCACGCACGCACGCACGCACTCACTCACTCACTCACTCATATGTGTTCGAGATTACAGACTAACGGGAAAGCACCTAACTTCCACTTTGCAATGTACATTTTGCATGATAATTGATGTGCAACAGATATATATTCAAATTCACAAAGAATGTATTTAGTTAACGGAAAGTAATCTTCATCACAACAGGCACCACCTGTTTGTCCGTTTTGTCGGGGTTTTTTTTTAATATCTCGTTCTGGGATACACCGTATCTGACAGCCTCTCGAGTAGTAATCTGTATTTCTTATTTGACTGACTGACTGACGGAGTTTACTTTTACGCCGCAACATTCCAGCAATATCAGGTCGGTTACACATTTGAGATAAGTGGTATCAAACATACACGTGTGAGATCGAATATCAGGTTCGTGATTGGCTCCCCCTTGATTATACTCCGTCACACTCTTGCCACGCATACTGCAGTTCAATGTGTACAGTAGTTGGCCATAACTGAGTCATCATTAGTGAAATTCCCATAGACTTGCATGTTAATTAATTCTTGCGAAAGTAATTTTCATAAATTTAGTTTCGGTCGAATTGCTTTCAATACTTATCTACCAGCTGGGAAATCATCTCAGCTACATACACATAATTTCCATTCAATTTTCCGATGATTATTAAGAAAACTGCAACTATCTAAACAACATATATCAGACATACCAATCAGGTTTAACATGGATATCATTCTATGGGATCGATTAAAATTAAGTTGTACTTATAATATGGTGCTTAATCAGGTGTCATTCGATAACTAATCAACGGAAAGATGAAAGAAAATTATGTACACGTAGCTAAAGATGATTTCCAAGATTTTTGCAAAATATCAAAATAAAATGACTTCTACTCAATTTATGTAAATTATACTTTCAACAGTTAATTAACATGCAAGGCTATGGAAATTTCATTAATGATGACTCACTTATGGCCAAGTACTGTACATTGTCTCCATTTGTACTGTACATGTTCTTTCAAACAATCGTCGCCTATAACCACTGAATTTGTTGACGCAATACTTGAATAAGACTAACAATGACATTTTCTCAGGCTCGTTTACAAGTCTTACACGAAGAATATGATTGAATGAAATCGTCAACATTTTCTCTCTCCGATGAAAACAAGTCATAACGGACAAGATATCCAGTAAACAAATTATTTTTTATAACGGTAGATCTATTCACATTATTTGTCATGTGCTAATCGCTTTAATAGCTCAAACCCGAATTCATATTTTTTATCTTAAAACATCTACCCGTTTATTGAAAAACAAGCAAAAGTATCAGCAACTGCATATTATCAAAATACATATACATGTTTTCACGATTTATGTACATACACATTTCGTTTCGCTGACGAGTTGCAACTTTCAGTCAACCATTGTTTACGTTTTACCAAGCAGCATGACGGAAGTGCTTTACATACGGTAAATACTGTCGAGTTTATTGACCGCTTGTTAGTGGCATTGAATGGAGACTGCCGTGACAGTCGTGTCTGTCAGATCGAACGGTTCAGCGCAGCAACGCTCTCTCGGGAGAACTCAAGTATTGACTGATTGGTGCTGTAGGATGCTGTCAAAGTAAACGAGTCTCAACATTATCTGATCACCAACACAGCCCGGCAACACGGGAGGAACGATACACGCGTGATCCTGGCCAAGACAAGCTTACTAATCAGGCTAACAGAGTCTTTTTCACCTTTCCAGTTCTGATCTGATTGGGAAGATGACACCGAAAGCACGATGGCTTTCACCTGGTAAGTACAATGCTCATTATATGGAGGAACAACATCGATCTGAACTTTCATGTAAATCTGTAAATCCAAGAGATATTTTTTTCATGGCTTGACACTGTAATTTGTCAGTTAGGTTTTTTCTTCAGAGATTAACAGAGTATGCAGATTATCAAGAAAAATGTGTTGCTTTGCTCACTGCGTATCTATAGTTCAACAAGATTATATGCTCTGTAAACATTGCCAAGCCATTCAAATATTGATAGGGAACATGAACATGAGCATAATTGTCCAAGATATTTTTATGGATTAAACTTCTTTTTTAACTTCTCTCACAACGTTTCGAGACCATTCCAGGTCTCGAAACGTTGTGAGAGAAATTAAAAAAGAAGTTTAATCCATAAAAATATCTTGGACATCAATGTACAACTTCTAAATGCCACTGAAAGACATGATCATAATTCATGATTAATTTAGTGATCTCTGACATGCTGGCAAGGTTATCTAATTAACATGTGCTATGCTATCACTACCATATCTCAGATACCTTACATACAATGACAATAGGGATACCACTAAGATTGTTTTAAGCAATCTCTTAATTCTCTGAATATTTTGGGAAAGGTGTTGTAGAACTTGGATAATTTGCTGGACCTCAATTACCGTCAACCCAAAATAGTCTTAATTGTGATCAAAACAGTAGTTTGTATCATGTTGTATTGTTAAGGAAACAATAATCCACTGTGTCGATTCGAATTTGACTTTCCCCGTGCGAATTGTTGGAAAGAATAAGACCCTGTGCCTTTGCTTAAACTGGCTTATAAGTAGGAGTTATAAGTTATATATGGTTCTTATAGGAAAAGATAACTCTTGACTGATTTGCTCACATCCTCGACCACTGGTTGCCTGGTGTAGATGTGGCTATACATACACATTGTTACCATTCACACATGTTGGATCACAACTGATGCTTAGGGCATGTTTGCTATATTACTGTGAGATTATATTGTGAGTTCTTCTGACTTTGAATTTTATGTACATGACTAGGAGCTTTTGGACTGAAATGTTTGATACAGTCTGGTTGCCAATTGTCTCTATGGTAAATATCTATGTGTTAAAGATCAGTAAATATATGTGAGCAAATCTTCCATGTGGTAAATATCTGGGTGTTTATTTACCAGCTGATGAATATTGGTGTTAAGGATGAAGATGGTAAATATCAGTGACTGAATTGTCCAGGTGGTAAATATCTGGATGTTTATTAAGTAACTAATGTAGTAGTATATACAATGGGGGTTCTGGATCACTTTCAACCAAAGCCTCTGCAAAGCCTTATTTCACAAGTAAGGCTTTGGTCGGACCCTTAGCTCTTGCTACCATTACCCCTACTACAAAAGTTGGGGGATGCGAACGCACCTCCTAGCCGCGCTACCGGGGGCATGGCTGGAGTGTGTTGGTATCCTGGGATTGCACCATCCAATACTGGGCTGCGTCTAACGTGCCGCTATGGCACTATTGTGCCGCTATGGCACTATTGTGCCGCTATACCATGTTTACCTCGATGAAACAGTTTAATGTGAATCGCCTATGATCTCTTTGGTGTTTGTAATAAAGGCTTGCCGGGCTTTTTTCACCCCTTGTTCTATGTACTTTTTCTCGCCCTCGCTGATAGTAGACTTACGAGACTTGGATCGAATCTCTTGTTTCATTTTGTTATATTTTGTGAGTTCAGAGAGTATTGAACTAAACTCATCCTCTGAGATCTTACTGTCAGTAAGTGCCGTGGAAATACGCTCACTTACTGTGTTCAGTTTTGCTTCGCCAGAACCCTGATCTCGCCGTGTTTCAATGCCTTACGATGCAGTCTCACGCGGATGCCAACTTAAGCACCAACCCTAACACCCCTGCCACCCCAGCTGTTATTTCAATGCCTAGCACTATAGGTGCAGCCACGATGGTAGCTAACAACCCAACACCTGCCGCCCCAGCCCCATGCTGGTTGCCATAAGGGAGCAGCGTCAGCTCCGATCCACTCGATATTGAAAGCTCTATGGTACTTTTACATAGTGCTTTACGTGTGTCGCGGTCTTGTTCTAGTTGACGTTTCACATCACATAACTGCCTCTCAAGCGGAACCCGTCTTCGGTTTCCAGGGTCTTCGCTACTTCCTCTACGACTGGGTATAGCCCCATTCTCTGCGTGCCTATAATATATCTGGGGAAATATTTTTAATTGGGTATCAGTTAATAACCGATCAACGCATTTGAAGTTTATAAGGCCTACATCCTCAGATAGGTGAATAGTGGAAAGGTCAATAGGTAATCCTTGGCTACCTACCCTAAATATCTTGAGCTTATTAAGGGGCAGCAACCCCCACTCGAGTCCCCGTCGTGATAATGATATTACAATGGTAGTCAGGGTCAAAGCCAACATGACCAAGTTCTATGCTCACCCCAGATAAAAGGCCCAATGAGTACTTCATACGGACGCTTTTAAAAAAGAGTATTATGATTAATGTGGAGCCTGGGGCATAAACTTAGGAAATGGTAGGTCAGAGTATATCTTAAACGATAACTGTGCCGTGCCCTGGGTAGATCTAACATGTAACCAGGGTGATTTGGGATTTGGGAAATTCTAATTTGTTTATAGCCGTCGGGTTGAAACCCCCGAGCAAGATACCGCTGTTCTTAATTTCAGCGATAAACCTACCATCATGAAAAGACACGTAGGTGTGGTGAGGGTTATGTTGAGAAACCATTCGACTCCATAAAGTGGTTGTGTAGATTTCTCATAAAGTCGCCTGGCAGGCTCATCAGCATGTACACACCACCTATTAATTGTAGGACGTACAAGGCGCCTTCTTCGAACCAGGCTGATCGAATCCCTCTAGGTCCCTGAGTGTGAGTTTGGGCAGATGATCGGCCATTGCTGCCCCCCTATACACGTTGTCTTTTAAGTGTAGGATGTATGAGCCACCTTCCTCACCAGGCTGATCGAATCCCTCCATGTCCCCTAGGTCGCTAAGCGTAGTGTTGGGACGATGACTGGTCATTGCTATAATACTATTACGATATAATTTCCAACTGGTTTTCTGATAATAGTTCAGGGGTTAACTTCACCCCATGAAGTGTGTATGTTGTCAGGTAGGAAGATCTTGGTTAGTGATATAGTGTTTTCCACGATCACGGTGACACCCTGCAGACTGGTGTTGGAGCGACACCCACCGCACGTAAACTGTGCAAACGTGATACTGGTGTCGTTTCACCCACCCAAGTTTGATCCCTTCACGATCTCGACATCATTCCCCGATGGTTCCCCTAGGTAGACTTTGATGATCAGTGTTGAGTTCGCCGGTAGACTCTCTAGTATCCTGACCACGCCTTCAAATTCAGACACCAACTGCAATGTCACGCGTTTTGCATGCCCGCTTTACTCGATAGCATGTGGGCTGCCATACTGGCGACTGGGCTGATGACTACGCCACGCCTCTGAGTCGGGACGTAAGCCAACGAGCAGGGTTCCGTTGTTAACGACTTTGTTTAGGTGGTTGTCTTTGTTATCCGTGAACACATAGGGGAGCCGAGCCTAATATTGAGAAACCAGTCGTCTTTATCTGGTAACAACACCCACTTGTCATCTTCGGTGAAGACGAAATTATATGGCCTGTTTCGGGCGACGGTAGTGCTCTCAACATCGTCTAAGTCGAACAGTTTGCCCCGAACGATGGGTATATTATCCAATTATCATTACCGGTGGTGACTAGGGTGTACTTAGTGTTGACTACCGGCTCTTGAGGTATCTACTATATCACCTAGGGCTCCACGGAGGGGACTTCAACGTTTGTAAATGTTGTTTTCAGTTGCAAGCATGCACAATTTACCATCTACTCGGGAGCGCCGAAACCGGTGGTGTCCCTCGAGGTCGGAGATCCCCACATTGACGATTTTTTCACCCCGGCCCTTGTGCTGGTCATTTTATGTGAAGCGTTAAGCTGAGGTATCCTATATTCACGGGATTATGATTTATATCTAACACCGATATTATCAGCTCAGGTATGTTGCCCTGAGTCAACCTCTTATACTGCAGCGGTGAAAACGACTTCGGTTCTACCGTCGCTGTATTTCTCCGTTTTCACCGCACGGCTCTCAGTATAGTGGAAGGGTGACCCCTTGAATGTTGTAACGTTGTGCTCACCTGACCTAGATGAATGTACAGCTCGGCACGGTACTAGGTCGGGTAACTTCGATGCCTGTGACGGTTGTTGTTGGTTTTATCTCGCCAGGTGACATACCGAGTGTCCTCGCCAATGGTCGGCCGAGCCTCAAGGAGTTTCTTCCGTTGTTGATTAACACCACTGTGCCGCTTTGAGTCGCTTCATCTTGAGTTCGCTCCCAGGGTTTGAAGACCTCATCGCTAGCGAAAGCACACGCTGTAGTAGCCGCCAGTTATCTGGCTGCGAGTTCCACTAACGAACAGCTTATTGTTGCTGGCGTTGATGTTAGTCCATTGCGGCGGTAGGTGATATCGCAGAGTGCTTAATTTCGAAGTTGACGGACGTATTATCGATCACGCGTCGCCAGCTGAACGGACTCACCGCCGTTATTCCTGGAAGTGTTATGTACATGTTAGAGTATATATGCTCATTATATAATAGTTTTAAAATGTATTCCCAAGGAGGAGCATCCCGCAAGGAGTGTCTTACTCCCCTGGAGTGTTTTACCCTAAACTGGACATAGATTTTCACCCATGAAGATCGCGGTTGCTGATGGGATGTATTTCAACGCCCAGCTTTTAGATGTGTTCAGCCTGTATAAATTTTCGTGACTAACGCTAAGGTAGTTCATGCTTGGTTCAACAACCCGATGCAGTTCTGGCAGAATCAACTCAACTTCGCCGTGTGGTGCGCTACAACGGGTGTGGTGTGACATTGACCGACACCGGCGTGGACCGCTGAGTCAGTCTGTGTTCAAGTTCCACGTGTACTACCAGGTCAGAGCGTATCCTTAAAGAAATCAGCCCCGCCC